TATTTATCTTAATAAATTTATAAGATAGATATCCAAATTTAATTAGATGCGTCCTAATTCTAAAGTTTGAATTTTGTCTATTGTAATACTTAAATAAAGTACTTTTTGATTGATTTTATTTTTTAGAAATTTAAATTTTTCTTTCTTGAGCAATAACTTAAATCTTTCAATAAAATACTTATTGTATAAATACCAATTGTACCTATAGTTAACAGGTTAAAAGTACTAGTTCAAATTAGGACAATATAAGACCTATTGCAAAGGGCTTTAGAAGTAAGCAACCAACCAGGAAAAAGTAGATAAAAAATTTTATGATTGGTAAAGAGGTGTATTAATGGTATAAGAGTAAATAAGTAAACATATAAAGTATAGTAAGCAAATACATAAAGACACAATTAAATATCTCTAGCTACTATCTTTTTTTTTTTTTTTTTTCTTTTTTCTTTTTTATAATTTGAATAAGTTATAAAAGTGAAAGAATAAAGATGGGTTCAAGCACAACCAAATATGGAACCGAGTTCAAGTTTCAATTAAATTTACTTAAATTAAATTAAGAGAACAAAAGTGGAAATGCAGTTAGAGCAATAATATCATACAAGAAGTTGAAATAAAATAGAAAGACTATACTTATATTCTAATCTAAACTTCTAATGTAACTAGAATTTAAATAATTGTATTACTTATTTTCACTAGCACTATATTGGTTGCAACAAAATCTTTTGTAATTTGATTTTGAGTTAGTAATTTTTTTTTCTTTTTTTCTTCTTTGTTTCGAATAGAAAAATAGACCAAGTTAAGTGAATAAAAACCGAATAAAGGTTAATGGTTAATGATAAAGATGTTTGAATAAAGGTTATTTTAGAATGTACTAGTTGTATTTAAAACAATGTTAATAAGAAATCAATAAGCATTTCTAGATATATTACTCAAAAGAATAGACATAATAAGCCTGGCTGATTGGAGTTGAGAACATTTTATCCCTATTATTACAAACATATAATTCATGAGAAGATAAAAAAAAAAATAGATGAGGGGGTCGCTTGTTTTTGCAGCCCAACACGCTCCTAAAATTTTTTAAATTTTTTTGAAGTGCTGGAATAAAAAATAAATTTTAAAAATAAAAATTATTTTAATATATTTTCAAATAAAAGTACTTTAAAAAACAATTGATACTATAATGTCAAACACTACTTAAATCAATCATTGTTAAATAAATAAATATTAACATATCATACATATAAAATGACAATTGTATGTTTTACATTTATATGAAAATGTTCAATTTTCATAAGATATTGATTGTTCTTTAAAAGGTTCCATAATGCATGCATATTGGATCTTTTTAGGTAATTATAATTCTTTGGAGCCAATTCTAATTGTTAACTAAAAAAATATAATTCAATGGCATTTGTGTTTTCTTCCTTAGTTTAGCCAATCTATCATCTAAAGCAAAAAAATGGTAAAGTATTCTTGTGCTTTGAAGTGATTTCAGATCTATTAAGTCTCATAATATTCTCCATCACTTAATCAATAGATTTCACATTTGTTATTTCCATTATTGCTATCATGTAAATTTATTATTGCTATCATGTAAATTTGTTATTTTCATTACTGCTATCATGTATCATGAGATACATGATAGATACACAATGAATATCCAAAACTCAATCAAGTCAGGCTTGATTTATACCCGATTGGGCTCAAGGTTCAAGTAAGGTTCAAGTCGAGTTCAAGTAAGCATTTTAGGTTCAGATTTTGGTGTGAATATTACAAAATCCAACCCATAAATACCCATTATCATCCCTAGTTTCAATGGGTGACAGCGTGCATTGGATGAAAGACATAATAAGCCTGGCTGATTGGAGTTGAGAACATTTTATCCCTATTATTACAAACATATAATTCATGAGAAGATAAAAAAAAAAATAGATGAGGGGGTCGCTTGTTTTTGCAGCCCAACACGCTCCTAAAATTTTTTAAATCTTTTTGAAGTGCCGGAATAAAAAATAAATTTTAAAAGTAAAAATTATTTTAATATATTTTCAAATAAAAGTACTTTAAAAAACAATTGATACTATAATGTCAAACACTACTTAAATCAATCATTGTTAAATAAATAAATATTAACATATCATACATATAAAATGACAATTGTATGTTTTACATTTATATGAAAATGTTCAATTTTCATAAGATATTGATTGTTCTTTAAAAGGTTCCATAATGCATGCATATTGGATCTTTTTAGGTAATTATAATTCTTTGGAGCCAATTCTAATTGTTAACTAAAAAAATATAATTCATTGGCATTTGTGTTTTCTTCCTTAGTTTAGCCAATCTATCATCTAAAGCAAAAAAATGGTAAAGTATTCTTGTGCTTTGAAGTGATTTCAGATCTATTAAGTCTCATAATATTCTCCATCACTTAATCAATAGATTTCACATTTGTTATTTCCATTATTGCTATCTTGTAAATTTGTTATTTTCATTACTGCTATCATGTATCATGAGATACATGATAGATACACAATGAATATCCAAAACTCAATCAAGTCAGGCTTGATTTATACCCGATTGGGCTCAAGGTTCAAGTAAGGTTCAAGTCGAGTTCAAGTAAGCATTTTAGGTTCAGATTTTGGTGTGAATATTACAAAATCCAACCCATAAATACCCATTATCATCCCTAGTTTCAATGGGTGACAGCGTGCATTGGATGAAACGATTGCATTGCCAACGACAATCCATTGGGATGAAACGAGAAGCGAGCTGCTAGTTGAAACGACTTGCCTGGATGCCTAACAATAAATGTTTTCTTTGTTCAATATCCCCCCTCCTGCACTTTTCCAGCCTTTTTTTTTTTTTTAATTACCGTGAATATCCGGGCCAGCTTACGCAATTCCTAATAACACACGGTACTTCACAGATCGGATCAAATTTATCTCATTGTAAAAAAAAAACAAAACATAGAGAAAACGCTCGTGTTTTTAAATAAATAAATAAATATAAATTCAATAATCAAGTCGTTTATTCTAGTTCATTCAATAAATACAATTAATTTAATAAATTAAACAACAGCATTAAATAAACCCAATTATATATATATATATAGACCATTGTCAACTTAAAAATATTTTAGAAAAAAATATCTTCTCAATATTTATTAACAAAATAAAAATTAAAAAAATATAACAGGAAAATTTTTTTTTAACTCAATTCTTAACAATTCAAATTTAAAAACCCAAAAAAAAAAATTTTTTTTTAACTCAATTCTTAATAATTCAAATTTAAAAACCCAAAAAAAAAAAAAACTCCGATCATCAATCTACCAAATACACAATCATAAGAGACCACAATAATTTCATAAAAAACAAATTGAATAAAACAACAAAACTCAAATCTTAAACACAATGTTAATGTAAATTTATTATTGCTATCATGTAAATTTGTTATTTTCATTACTGCTATCATGTATCATGAGATACATGATAGATACACAATGAATATCCAAAACTCAATCAAGTCAGGCTTGATTTATACCCGATTGGGCTCAAGGTTCAAGTAAGGTTCAAGTCGAGTTCAAGTAAGCATTTTAGGTTCAGATTTTGGTGTGAATATTACAAAATCCAACCCATAAATACCCATTATCATCCCTAGTTTCAATGGGTGACAGCATGCATTGGATGAAACGATTGCATTGCCAACGACAATCCATTGGGATGAAACGAGAAGCGAGCTGCTAGTTGAAACGACTTGCCTTGATGCCTAACAATAAATGTTTTCTTTGTTCAACATCCCCCCTCCTGCACTTTTCCAGCCTTTTTTTTTTTTTTTAATTACCGTGAATATCCGGGCCAGCTTACGCAATTCCTAATAACACACGGTACTTCACAGATCGGATCAAATTTATCTCATTGTAAAAAAAAAACAAAACATAGAGAAAACGCTCGTGTTTTTAAATAAATAAATAAATATAAATTCAATAATCAAGTCGTTTATTCTAGTTCATTCAATAAATACAATTAATTTAATAAATTAAACAACAGCATTAAATAAACCCAATTATATATATATATATAGACCATTGTCAACTTAAAAATATTTTAGAAAAAAATATCTTCTCAATATTTAATAACAAAATAAAAATTAAAAAAATATAACAGGAAAATTTTTTTTTAACTCAATTCTTAATAATTCAAATTTAAAAACCCAAAAAAAAAAAAAACTCCGATCATCAATCTACCAAATACACAATCATAAGACCACAATAATTTCATAAAAAACAAATTGAATAAAACAACAAAACTCAAATCTTAAACACAATGTTAAAAGCAAAACAAAAAAACACAACTTAAAAAAACAACAACAAAAAATTAACTTTCAAAAAGGACCTATGAAGAAAACAAAAATCAACTCCAGTCACAATTCGAGACCTGAAACATGAGACGAAAACTAACTCTATAAAAAAACAAACCTAAAAAAAATCATGAAGCTATATCCATAATCAATAAAATAACAAGAATAAAATTTTTAAAAAAAATCAATCAAAAAAATTAAAAACAAAATAAATATCAATAAATAAAAGAATCAAACCAAACATGAAAAATAAAACAAAACAAAATGTTAAGGGGTGAAATTGAAATCAAAAGGATAAAAAACAAATAACAATAAAAAAAAATTGAAACAAATTTTATATATTAAATGACATCAGATTTTAAGGTACGAAATAAATAGCAATAAATTTAATACAAATATTAGATGATTTAAGGACACCTGCATTCTGCAAAATTTTATATATTAAATGTCTCTGCATTTCGTTCTTCAGATATTCTCATGTATCGACCAAAATAATTGCAAGAAAACCTAGCTATTTCTGTGGCAGAGAAGGTATATCAGAGGACAAGATCCCTTGGAAGCAACTCAAACATTGAAACCAAGTAAAGAAGCTGATATGATTTTATCAACTTATTGTCTCAAGATTGTATGTCGCCGAGAAACAAAAGGACACTAAATAGGTTCATTTTCTTATTCCATTTCAAATCAGATGTATGCTTAACAACCAATATTGACCAAAACGATTACAGATCAATATTGACGAAAACATCAACTGGCTTCATTACAGATCCAGAAACAAGCTCGAAAATGTTATCTTGTATCCCCCCCACCCCATAATGCAAGGACAAATAGATTCGTTGGCACAACTCATTATGTGAGGAGAAAGACAAACAATAGTTTAAACTCTGTTTTCATTCATACAAGGCAACATTAAAAAAAGGAAAGAAAGAAACGAAGACCTTCATTTTTCTATTATCTATAGGAAGCCTCAGTTTTCCATTTGAACTCTAGCTTTGGGACTATTTCTTAAGATGATGAACATATCTGAATTAGGTGCAACTACCAAGTACCTTCTTTATTCATGTAAGCCGTGAGTACGACAGATTCACTCCAAGTCTAAAAAACTGCCAAAATGTGCATTGTTAAAACCAGTGTTCTTTTCCCAGCTAACCTGCAAATACAAAGACAGGTAGAGCATGAACAAATAATTATTTGATGTATATTGATTTTTTGAATCCACGAAGAAACAACAAAAGGAAATTGAATTCACAAGCACGCAAGAAGACTTTTGCCATTCACCTTCTCTTCATGTGGAAAAAAAGATGTCAATAATGATGCATGCTATGAACATGCATCTGGATTAAATGGAATAACCATTCAACTCAGATGTACCACAGAGAGCGAAGCCAAGAGCAATCCCAGTCACTTGGGGCATAGTAATCCCTTCGCAGCCCACACTGAATTCTGCCATGACAATAAACTGCCTTTTCACCCGCTCCATTAGAAGAGCGAAGTTCCTGGTCATGAGAGGGGCAAAGAATACACCTGACTAGGGTTTGCCAACAACCAATATGCACCAACACAAAGAAACTGAAACATATTCATCCAGGGGCACCTTAGAACGCACCAAATTAACCACTATGTTAAGTTCATCAGCCTATTCAAGCATAAAGGAGTAATTCCAATCCCCAGCAGAAATCACATTGCAAATCCTCTGTTGTATAGATTGCTGGAACCAGACATCTGATACTTCAAATCCTCATAACTAGGAACTAATTTGCTAAATCCCATCCCTCCATTTCCTAGAAATTCTGGCATACAAGGATCACTAACATTTTTTACCTCATTCCAACCACCCAAACTGCCATTTGAGATGTGCACATTTCTAAGCTGTTGAGCCGTCAATTGTGTAAATGATGAAGGTTTGTTGGGCAGGGATTGACCAAGAAGCACAGGTGAAATGGAATACGTATCTTCTGGGGGAGAGAATCTATTCCTGAAGTGATCTGATAACCTTATGTTCTGCTGTGCAGAAATTGACTGCCGCATCAGCATCTGAAGCTCTGAATCATGATCAAAAGGACTAAAATGAGGAGATAAAGCTGGCTTTGCATCAAAGCCTGGATTATTCAGCCTTGCTGACAGAAATCCTTTGCCAACTTCCATTATTGCAGGATCAATGAATTCAACATCCCCAGAGACGCCAATGTTCCGAGATAGTGGTGCAGAGTTTTGTAGAAAATGATTTCCTGGAGAATAAAAAATACATATTAAAATTCATTGAAGAGAAAGACAACAAAAAGGCAAGCCATCATAAATTATAAATCACAAACCAGAATGGTCAAAATCATAGTGCACTGCCCCATGAGTAGGAAAGCCTGGAGGTACAACTCTACTTGGCACTGAGAATCCTGGTGGGGGAGACGTGGAAGTTTTGGAAACTGTTCATGGCATTGCAGCAAAATATAAATAAAAAAGTAAGTCATAGTAGTTCCAAAGCTTTGTAAGAATGGCAAAGAAAAAATTTAAAATTCAAGGAAATTCACATTCAAAATCTTCCTGAGATAAAGTTTCTTTTTTATCAGAATCTTCCTAAGTTGAGGCTTCACATAACTGACCGTACAAGCTATGGGATTCAAGCATTTTAGTATTCCAAAATATAACTAAAACTGGACAGAATCTTTCTAGATACCTCTTCCCCCAACATGTGAACAAAAACTAAAATAACTGCACCGATGATATGACGAAGCACCACTACTCCTGACTTTCTCAACTCTGGCTCTGACTTTCTAAAGACCAAAGGAATTTCTCGTTCTATCTAAAAGGCATCATTATCGCATGTCAAGATTTTACCTTCAATAGCCCATCTCTAAAATCTATCAATGGTTTAAATTCTGAAAAAGAAACTAACACTGCATCCCTCCCAAGTTTGATACCAAGCAAGCATAAAATAAAAAATATGATTAATAAGGGAGCAAGGTCGAGAAATAAAATTTGAAGGCATTTTCATTTTCTTTCATAAAATACCCTTAGCATGTGAGCAGGAAGCCACCATATCATGTCGCCCCAATGACCATCCGGTCATAACTATAAAGCAACTTAAAATCAGTATTTGCTTTAATCCATCATTTAGAAAGATGACCTCCTTAGGACCAGAGCCTAGAAACCATCTCCATGTTTCTTCTAAATAACAGGCATGCTTCCCACAGTGGTATGAATGAAAAAGGAAACCATCCCTAATAAAGGCTGCAGTCCTTTCCACAACACCTAAGAATACCTAGATAGCAATATCTGCCTCCCAACTTCAAAGAGTTAATATTCCAAAAGACAATCTATCCCTTCATCAAGAGTTAGTTTGTTGTTCTGAAACCTAAAGCCACCTTACATGTTTGGGAGGCACCAATGCCCCACCAAACATTCCAGTTCTCTACATGTCCCTGTCACAGGGATATAGCTATAGCCTAACTGGCAGCAACACCTTTTCATAAAAGAACAGCTGAAGTTTAAATCCTCCTTCCCCAAACTATTGAAGAACAGCCCCCCCTGGAAGAAAAAAAAGACACATTCTCCAATAAACAGGAAATGAATCATTCAGATATAAGAACGGAATGGCATTCCCCATGATTCAAGGAAATAAATCAAAAACATATTTGTTAAGATAGGAATAATGCTAGAGTTTTTTACTGAATAGTGTAGCCTGAGTGAATGACATGATATTAATTTTAAAAATATTCCCTTACTGATAGTACCCTATGCCATTGCTTTAGCAAGAACTGCCACTATGAAAACAACACATAACTTAGTTGGGAGTATCCCTGGCATTACTCTTTATCACTAGATAGTTTTCTGAACTCAATGCATTATTCACAAATACATAAAAGGATGTATCATGCATCATCATATCATACATGGAAAAAAAATGGATTTCCCGTAATACAAGACAATGGCAAGAATATGTTTGGCAAAATTTAACAAAAATATGCATCAGGGCCACAGCAAAACAGCAATGGTACTACAATGGCAAACCATAATACATCCAGTTACATGAAAAGAACAGCTTCAGAAGAAAATAGGAAGATGCATCATGCATTGCATCAAAATAGACAGCACTCACCTGAAAAACTAGATGTAAAAGGATGCTTGCTGAGGAAACCATTTGATTCTACAGAACTAATATTTGAAGAGACGCCACGATAATTGTCCATCCAAGGATCCTTGTTTTCAATAATGTAATTTGAGGAGGAAGATTTATTTGCTGCATTTTCAAGTGAATGCTCAAAATTAGACAAATGATTAGAGAAACCATCCTGCCTGGCAAATGAGAACCTTGATTGACTACTCTCCTGTGCTTTTCGCATGCATGGTATTTTGCGGCAACTTTGTTGCTTATCATTATCAGCCAGCAACTTGACAAAACTCTGAGGTGATGTCAACGAATCTTCCCATACACCAGAATCAATGGATAGAATATTTGAGATAATGCTGCTCTCATCTGTGTCTAGATCAAGTTTATAGTCAATACTAGCTACATTACTACCATGTTCTTCCAAGCACTTCCCCGGTCCTACCTCTGACAAGACACTAGAATAGTTAGAAGACCTATCCCACTCAACAAGGCCATTAGCTTGCCTGTCATGCAACCCATTAGACAAAACAGTGTTGCCAGATCTGAATGGAAAAGCGACCTCATCATGCTTAGCAGGAACAATGCTTGGATGTACATCAATAGTGCTTTGACAATTCTCGCCTTGCTGCCAGGAATGATAGGTTGGCTGCTCCAAATACTGTTTTGGAGAAAGCAAAGATGATATGAGTGGTTCATGATGGATGCTTCGAATGCCCTGGACTTCCCGATCATCAAAACATAGTAAATCCTCAACAATTGCACATTCTCGCTGTGTTGGCGAGGATGAAGAATTACAAGGTGGCTCACTCACAAAAGGTTGTGAACCTTGACTTTTGGGCAGTTTATGGTTAGAAATTGAAATATCTGAAGTAACAGGTTCATGGTACTCATCCTTAAGGTGATCATCAATGCTAATTGATGATAATCCAGAGCATAGTCCCTGCAAGTCCCCATCCGCATGAAAATTTTCATCTTCATCCAGACCAGTAAAATAGGACAGTTTAGTGATTTTTGAAGGGCTAGTTCCAGCTTGTGGTTCATCAGTATCACTAGCGCTGTCCTGAGATGCTGGAGGACAAGAAAAATGGTCAATCGATGTTAGATTGGCAGGATGCACTTCACAGCTTCCTTCAGGTATGGTTCTTTTCATATCACCAGAACTTTTGGTGATCACAACTTCTGGCGCAAGACCATGGTCCCCATGTGATGTCTCAGGTTTATAACTGGGAGTTCCACCTGATGATGACAAACTTGTAACCGGTGGCAAACTGCCAGCGACACGTGTAACCCTGAAAAAGCCATTAAATAGAATATAATAAAATTCTGAATGCCACATGCCATAAGATAAAATTCAGCATGCCACACATCATAAGATGAAATTCAGGATGTCATATAACAGATCTCATACCATGAAGATGCCCCATGAAGTGTATTGGATCTTCCAGCACCACTATCCGCACATGACCCGCTATCCCAGTTCACAATATTTTGCTGGAAAGCAACAGTCAGGGTATTTCAAATAGTAAGAGCACTGCATAAGTAATAAACAATAACACTAATTTTGTAGATTTGTTCATTTTAACTTTACTGAACTGGAGATCATTCCATATTTTCACCTTATAATGATTACATCAGATTATGTAATTTAATGATCAGTCCTACAAGAATACAGTCCCCCAAATGCATCACCAGAAATAACCAATTTTTTTCTGAAAAGGCAAAATATAACATGTAGGCTTACATTTAAAGAAGTACTGGCATCAAGTTTGGCTGTGGATGATATGTTCCTATTGGTGGATTCATCTGATGAGGGTGGCAAAACATTTCCAGAACGCCGATGCAAATTATTTGTAGCACCAACAATTTGTTGCACTCTACTCCTTTAAAACAACAATAAGATAATTTAAGAGCAACACAGGTATATATGAATAGCAAAAAGACCAGGAATATTAGGCAAGTCTTCTTAAGCAAAGTAATTTAATGTAAGAGAGATGAAAACTGGAAAATGGTGGAGATCAGATAATAACCTTGTGAAGGCTGAAACTAAATCATCTTTTGTAAAACTATCTTCCTCAGAGCCAAAATCATGCAAATATAAACAGTCCGGAATGCTGCAAGGCTGGAACAACAGAAGTATTAGCAGAGGGGTAGCAGAGAGAGCTCCGTTCTTGGTATGCAGACTTGTAAAGGATGAATAGTTTGCATGTTCTTACTGTATTTTTCAGCCATGCATGGCAGTATTTTGTTGTTCCAAAGCATGCCCTGTATACAACTCTTATCAATCAACAGATTGTAAACAAAAAAGTAACACACTGAGGAACGATCATCTTACCTCAAGGATCTACCTTCTAATACAAAACTGTGCACTGATTGAATACAACGAACTGCTTCGTCCTCTTTTGCATATGTTATATACCTAACAAGTGAAAAAAGGTACCATGTTAACACTATAAAACATCAAATGACTACAGTATGACAGAATCCCTAATTAGGATTCAAGTTTCAGCCCACTGTGGGAGAGGGGGGGGGGGGCATTTGACCAAAAAAATGGAAAGTGAACTTACACACAACAACTGTTGTTTGCAGCATGTTGAATTGCCCCTGTTGCGGTTCGAGATATAGACACCTTCAGTACCTTTCCATATTGGCCAAAGTACTCTTTTCGCTGAAGAAGCTGATAGAAACAAAAAAAATCCACCTCAGACTCCAGAAATATATAAAGAAGCGTAAGCAGATGCAAGAATTACTACAGCAGGATTACATCTACATAGAAGCTGTGATGAGATGCACAAAGATACACAAAGATACTCACGGATTCATCTGCAAGATTAAGAGGTAATCCAATTATATACACTAGATTCCTTTGAATGACTCTAACATTGCTTAGATGCATCCTTCCATCAGATGTTTTTGGCTTCACCTTATGGGACTTCAGTTTTCTCTCTGAATTCATTTCAGCTACTAGCCTACATAGCAAAGAGTGCATGGTGAATTGTGGACATCAACAACTCATCAAATAGTATTTGTACAATGGAAAGGAACCACACAGTGAGCATGATTATAACCTTTCACAATTTGCTGCCATCCCTACAATTTTTTCTTTGTCATAAGGTGTACGACACGCTGGGCAACGACCCTCGGAGTTATCCTTGTCGGCCATTTCCATAATGTGGTTCCAGCACCAAACACAGACCTGCGACAATAAGAGAGAAGAAAACAAATGTGAACAAAACATAATAGAGATGTGGAGAAGCCAACAGTCTTTTTGCACAGAAACTAATATACAAGTACGGCTCATAGCTTAAACCTCATAACCACATTTGCATGGTTTCAATTGCTGATCAGTCAAATCCATCTCCTCAGCACACAATGGGCATGTCTTGTCTCCCTTGTCACTCATGATTGCCCTGGAGAATATTCAAGCAACATCAGATATATCTTCATATAACATAATTTAAAAATAATTCGGCCAATGCCAAGATTTCCTAACACCCATAAAAAGAATAAAAAGAATCCACCCAATTCTACCAATTATCTCAGTTTAGACTAGTTAAAACAACTAAAAATAGCTTCTACACTCAAACAATAAACACAACACGCCCAAGTTTCATAACAAAACAAAAGGTCAAAAATGTCATTTTTTTCCAATTTCTCAGCAACCAAACAGAGTATTATCAAGTAAATATTCATAAATTCTATTAAATCTAATCATGAAATTGATGAAAAAAACACTTCCTGTTCACTAACCAACAAAGTCAACAACAAGAAGAAGAAATACACAAAAATCAACAAATCAATTGAAAAAACAAAATCCAAACTAACCAATCTCAGAGAAATCATACATTTGTACATCCAAACCCGATTCAGGATCCGAAAAATCAGAATTCAATTTCCAATCAAGATGTGTTAAACAAGAGACGGATTTTTCAATTTTTAGATGGTCACTTTCTTTCTAGGTTTAACGATCTAGGTTATTATTATTATTATTCCAAAAAAAAAAAGTTTCGATCTTAAATTAGTTAAGGTCAGCCAAAGTAACAAATAGAATAAAAGAGAGATTTCTTTTTCTTCCCGAAGAGAGAGACTTACAGTGAGGAAGAGAAAAAAATACAGAAGAGGAGGGGGAGGAATCTCTGAGCTTTGAGCTTGTGTGTGAGAGAAAGAGAAGGCGACCTCTGGATAAAAGTGAAAGCCACAAACAAGTGAGCGTGTTTGCTAGTGGGTGTGTCCGTGTTTTATTTTTTATTTTTATTAATAATTTATGGATGGACGGATGGGATGGGATGGGATGGGATGGGATGGTGTGGTTGTGGGTGGGATGGGATGGCATTGCTGTTGTTTGTTGTTGATGGATGGATAGATAATTGCTTGTTTTGCGCTTGTGCTTGTGTGCTTTGAGTTTGCTTACCTGTCATTAACGTAATTGCTGCTCCTCTTCGTCACTCCGGTGTTGATGGGCGCTGGGTTCAACCCTAGTTTTGTAAATTTTAAAACAAATTACTTTTTTTTATTTAAATTTTTTTATTTTTATATTTTTATATTAAAAATAAGTCTTTAAATTTTTATATTTTTATATTTTTATATTAAAAATAAGTTTTAAAAATTAAAAAAAAAACATAATTTTTATGTATTTTAAAATAAAAATATTTTGAAAATTATCTTGAAAAAAAACCCTTTATAGCAAAATTATTTTTTCAAAAATTTATTAGAAATATTATCTTTATAGATTTAAATATTACAATAACTATTTTGCTCTTCTAAAAAAATCAATAAACTATTTATTATGATTAATATAATTGTTTCACAAAGGTTAATTAATTTTTTAAAATTGATAAAGGATAAATCAATCTTTTATATTTTTTAAAACACAATCATATTATTAAATTACTCTTTTAAGTTTTTAAATCAATTAAAATATATTTTGTTGTTAAAGATGGAATATAAAAGGTATATACAGAGGGTTTAAAATCTTGAACCCTAATTTTATGATCATAGAAGCCAAGTTTAATAATCAAGATTATTATTAACAAACAATATATCATTAAAATATAAAACTAAAAAGGTCTCAAGGTTTTATCATGGTGGTATTTTTTTTGCACGAAATATATTTGGTATTGTAAAATTAGTGAGGGATATGTATATTTTACTCTATTTGTTGCATAATGTAAAGTTTTAAATACTCTTGGAAGCAAAATTTATGTTTGTTTTGGGAGATAGGCTTTTCTGTTTTCACTTCTCTTAAGCACAATGAGATTATTAATATAACATTGTGAGATTATTAATATAACCTTGGGTTTTAAAACAAATGCTTTTTTCTATAGGGGTATTTATATCTTTTGGGCTCTAGTTTTTCTGTAAATTTCATGCGGTGTTAAAGGTGTTTTGGTATGTATAAAAAAACAAAATAAAAAGTTGTTGATACTTGATAAGAACGCACTAAAATGTGAAGGTTGTTTGTGCCATTTGAACAGTGCATGACACCCCCTCTAGAATCAAAAAATACTTAATTGTCGTCTTAGGTGAAGCGTCGTGGGGCAATATGTTTTACCTAATTTCTTCTATTGCACCATCTTTTCTCTTTCATTTACCCACCCAAAGTTTAAAAATATCCTAAACTTATTTATTATTTTAATT